CTGAGTTCAATCCTTGGTTCCAAAAAAAAGAAAAATTTAAGACAAGGTTCTTCATAAGTAGCTATATTGCCCAGGGTAGGCTTGAACTTGTCACCCTCCTACCTCCTTGGCCTCTTGAGTAGTTTGTCAAGTTACTTGTTTTGTGTAAGGATTAAAGACAGGGGATAGGCAGAGAGTTCAGCAGCACAGTGCCTGCCCAGCAAATGCAAAGTCTGAGTTCCATTCCCAGGACCCAAAAGAGAGAGACGGAAGTCCCTCATCACGCCATACCCTACCGGCCTGTTTTTCTGGGGGTGGCGCACGCCTGTCATCCCAGCCCTGGGGAGGCTGAGGGAGGAGGATCACTGGGCATTTGTGAAGACCAAGGACAAATCCCAGTGGCCCAAGGGCCAGCCTGATAAGTGCAAGGTCCCGAGTTTGGTCCCCGGTACTGCACGCCTTGCTGGCCCCAGAACCCTGGGCACGCTGTGCTGGCCCTGAAACTGGGCATGGCGGTGCATGCCTGTAATCCCAGCCCTGGGGAGGCTGCCACAGGAGGATCACTAGGAGGCTGAACAGCACAGTGAGACCCTGTGTACGATAAATAAATAACATTTATTTATTTATTTCATTTTTTAGTGTATTTAGTACAGGATCTCACTAGACAAGTCGACTTGGGGTGATTCTTCCTGGTTTTCAGCCTCCCAAGCACTGGGATTACAGGTGGGAGCCACTGTGCCCAGTTTCAGTTGCTGTTTCATTGTCCCCTGGGGGTGTGGCCAGCAGGGTAGGCCTTCGATTGAACCCCGGCCCCTGCAGGTGCTTTAATCTGCTGAGCTATCTGGCTGGCCTAAATAAATGTTGGGTTTTTTTTTAATAAATTTTTAAAAAAAACAAAAGAAAGAAGGAAAGAAGTCTATTTTAGACAGGTGGCTGTTATAGCTGTAATACTGATTTCTCAGAAGGTCAGATAGGGGAGGGAGATAGCTCAGTAGAATAAACACTTGCCTGGCAAGCTCAAGGTCCTGAGTTCAATCCCTAGTGCTGCAAAAGAAAGAAAGATAAAGAGCTTAGTACATCTAGCTTCAAGAGTGGAACTTTTTTTTTTGGCAGAACCGGGGATTGAACTTAGGTCCTTGCGCTTGCCAGGGCAACACTTATTCCACTGAGCCATCCATCTCTACAGCCCCAAGATGTGGAACTTTCATGTCAGCTGATCTGCTGAGGCCCAGAAATGAGACAGAGTCTCACTACACAGTTTAGAATGACCATGAACTCACTGTGCAGCCCAGGTTGCCCTTGAGTTCACAGGGATCCTCCTGCCTCAGCCTCCCAAGAACTGGGATCACAGGTGTGTGCCACCACACCCAGTTCAATTACTAGCACATATTTGTCCTACATAAGGAATGTATTCATCATGAGCTTCCTGGAACTTTTATTGAACACTTAACATGTATAAACCTCCTATTTCCAAAGAAAGTCCTGTTCTCAGGTATGAGGTAGAGACTTGGACATACCTTCATTTTTGGACATTGGGTTTTTTTTGAGCTCCCAAATTAACCCATGAAGAAGTCAAGAGATTCAGATTGCAAGGGTGGGGTCTTTCCTGGCAAGGGGGCCTTTTTTTTTTTTTTTTTTTTTGTGGTACCAGGGATTGAACCCAGGACCTCATACTTACCAGACAAGTGCTTATTCTACTGAGCTATCTCCCAGGCCCCAAGGGAGCCACTTCTGATAAGGGTGGGTTAGCAGGAGGGCTCCTATCTTCAGGAAGAAGGTCCTGCCAGGCGCACATCTGTATCCTAGAACTCGGAAGTTGAAGTAGAAAGATCATTGCAACTTGGACGCCAGCCTGGGCTATAGAGCGAGACCCTGTCTCAAGAAAGAAAAAAAAAAGAGTGGTGTTGATGACATGGCTCAGTGGCAAGCACAAGGTCCTGGATTCAAGTCCCAGTCCAAAAAAAAAAAAAAGACATAAATGAATAAGTCTGTCCATTAATTAATTAATTTGATATAGGGTCTCACTACATAGTTTAGACTCGTAGTGATCCTCCTGTCTCAGCCCTTCCAGTGCTGGGATTACAGGTGTGCCCCACCAGGCCTGCTGTGGGGGCCGGCAAGGTTTGCAGTACTGGGATTGAATTCAGGTTCTTGCTCTTGCCAGGCAGGTGCTTAGACTGACTGCTGAGCTATCTCCCCAGCTCCCTGTCCATTAATTATAATATCCACCATGGACTTTTTTTGAGGCAGGGTCTCACTGTGTAGCCCAGGCTTGCCTTGAACTAACTCACAGTGCTACTCCTGCCTCAGCCTCCCGAGTGCTGGTTACAGGTGTGTGCTAAGACACCAGGCCACTCAGTCTTATCTTGGCTGCATGCAGAATTGAAAGCTTATGGTGCCCGAAAGAGGCAGATGCAGCCTGAAAGCAGAGGTGCTGCGCTGTTCTCCAGGAATTCGCTGTCCATCAAACATCTGCAGGCCACTGAAACCTACATTCAGTGTTTTGGGCACCAAGTTTTATTAAAGACCTTCCTGCCCCCTTTGACCTTTGATTTTTTTTCCCCCCTTCTAGCCGGGTCCACCGCTGGATTCAACCTTCCACCAAAGCTTGGAAACAGATGTAAGTTCCGGGATACAGCCTCTTCTGTGGCCCCAAAGCTAGGGCGAGAGGATGTTCTAGACGGCATGGGCTGGGGAAGATCCGGACGGCGCCCCTGAATGGCCCTCTTCTCTTTTCTGCAGAGCCTGCTGACCAGGCTGTGTGGACAGGATCAGCTCCTGAGGAGGCTGCAGGGGGACATAGACCAGAAGCAGGAAGAGAAGGTAAGGGGCCCCCACGGGGTGTGAGGCATCGAGGACAGGGCACCCCTGCTCTCCTGCACGGGGTGCGGCCCAGAAGTCTGATTGCCCCCTTCCTCCTGCAGGAGCAGCTGGAGGCTGCCCTGGAGCTGACTCGGCAGCAGCTGGGCCAAGCCACCAGGGAAGCTGCGGCTCCTGGCAGGGCCTGGGGTCGCCAGCGCCTCCTGCAGGACCGCCTGGTCAGCGTGCGGGCTGCCCTGTGTCACCTGACTCAGGTGAGCCGCTGCAAGGGTGGGGCTGTGGGGTCCTGAGGAGGAGACCCTGAGGGTCACAGGAAGGGGTTCTGGAGGATCAATTGGCCCGGCCATGCGGTAACCTTGGTCATCCGGAAAGCAGCCAGCAGGAGCAAGAGTCTCAGGATGGTTTCTTTTTTTCTTTAAGTTTCATTTGCAGTACTGGGGATTGAACCAGGGCCTTGACACTGAACTACATCCCCAGCCTTTTAAATTTGTTTATTTCCAGGGAGAGAGCTCAGTAGAATAAGTGCTTGCCTGGCAAGTGCAGGGTCCTGAGTTCAATCCCTGGTACCGCAAAAAAAAAAAAAAAAAGTTTATTCACACAAGGTGTCAGGGTTGGGGGTGTAGCTCAGTGGTAGAGTTTCGAGGCCCTAGGGGAGAGAGGGGAAGATAAGGAGGGAGGGGTGTGTGTGGTGGGAGAGACAAAGGGAGACACTAAGTGACTAAATTGCCCCTGCTGGGCTTGCCTTTGGGATCTTTCAGCCCCCCCCAGAGTGTTGGAATTTGTGTGTGGGGGGTGGGGACCTGATTGGATTAAGCCTTGCCTCAGCAGGTGACTCCAGTTAGGGCTGCCTGGGTCTGCATGAACTACAGGGGGCGATCTTAGTAAAAGACAAAAGATTTATGCAATCTGAAGAAAAGCCAGAGTATGGATGATCTTAATAAAGCCATTTAAGCTGGGTATGGTGGCACCTGCTCACAACCCCAGGGTTTTGGGAGGCTGAGTCACAAGGATGGAGGATGGTAAATTCAAGCCTAACTCGGACAGTTTATAGAGTTAGGGAGACCATGTCTGTCTGAAGCAAGTATAATAATAAATAGTTGGGAGTTGGGACTGGAGTTTGGTCAACAGAGAAGAAAAATAAATAAAAGAGGAACAAAAACAGCCAGGTATGGTGGTACAGGCCTGTAATCCCAGCACTTGGGAGGCTGAGGCAGGAGGATTACTGAGAATGCCAGGCTAACCTGGACTACATGGTGAGATCCTGTCTCAAAAGTAAAACAAAACAAACACTTGAAAATTTATTTATACCCTCTGGGCCCTGGGCTGTAGCTATCTTTTATGTAAACTCTAGATAATAATAATTAAAAAATTGCTTCATAGGGTCCTCATGAGAATTCCATAATATATGTAAATGACATTTAACACTTAATAAAATATCTGGTTGGTACCTGGCAGTATCCTATGGGAGGGGAAGGGGGCAGGGACCACCCGAGCAGGCTGCAGGCGAACACCAAGGCTGTTTGTTGCACTGGGGCACCAGTGAGTCCCGCAGGGGAGTCAGCCCTGAGTGAGGGGAGATCTGAGGTGTTCAAGGGGGTGGTGGTTTTTAGCCCTGGATGGGGGGGGTGTCAGCCTTGAGGAATCCCGGGTAGGGACAAACATGGCCACGCCCTTTGGGCCCGCAGTGTAGAGGTCATCAAGCTTCCTGGAACTCCATGGGCTGGGACACAGTGATCTTTGATGCCCTGACCCACTGGGCATGACAAATATTTATTTACGTTAGCTCTAATAATTATTACTTGTAAATAATGGAGACGGTTTCTAACCTATGTAAATTGCTGTTTATTCAATCCCCAGTTCCACAAATAAGTAAATAAATAAAATAAAAATTACTGTTTAAATATTGGTAAGCTGGTGGCAACAGCACCACCTCACAAGAACTCACCAAGAGCCAGGCATGGTGGTGCCTACCTGCCATCCCAGCGCTCAAGAGGCTGAGGCAGCACTACCGCAAGTTCGAGGCTGCTCTGGGCTACATAGCGAGACCCTGTCTCAAAAAGGGAAAGAATTGACTGAGAGGTAGGCTATTTTTTTCCTCCCCCCCCCCTTTTTTTTTTCAGAACCAGGGATTGAACTCAGGCTCTTGCACTTGGCAGGGAAGCGTTTATTCCACTGAGCCATCTCCCCGGCCCCAAAGCAACTGTACCTCCTTTCCCTTTTGAGACAGTCTCGCTATGCTATGCTGTTCAGGCTGGTCTTGAGCCCAGAAGCCCAGCTGAACCTCAAATTTTCGGGGATCCTGGGGATCCTTCTAGGACGGCAGGTGGGCGCCACCACGCCCAGGTAACCACCTTTATCCTGGCCTTATGATGCTTGTGAGGCCTTGTGGCCTTAACTATCCCATGAATCCATGGCACTTGCAATCTGGACTGGCCCCAAAGATGCATGTTAGCAGTCCTGGGACTCGGGACGCTCTTATTTGTTACACAAGCCTCTCCATGGAATGCAGGTTTCATATGGCCTCTGGGGTTTCCCCTAGCCCCAGCCCTGCCTTGGACCCACACCTTCCCTTCATCCCTAAGCTAGAAGAAGATGGGCAAAGAGCTGGAGGGTAGGATGCTAACTTGTTTCTTCCTTTCTGCGACCTGAGGAGCGAGAGCGGGTTTGGGACACATACCGAGGCCTGGAGCAGGAGCTTGGCACCTTACGAGAGACCCTGGAGTACCTGCTGCACCTCGGGTCGCCCCAGGTACATCTCTTCCTCTGTGCCCAAGCCCAAACTCCGGGAAGAGAAACCCTTCTGCAGTAAGCCCCGCCCACAGATCTGAAGTCCCGCCCACTCAACCCAACTCCGCCCCTCAGTACTTCATTCCCAGCTGTCCCAGGCCGCTGTGCTCTGTTCTAAATCTCTCTCTCCCTCTCAATCCCTCTCTCTTTCTCTCTCTCCTGTCTCTCGTGAAAGTTCTGCCTCCATCAACCAAGTTCTTGTCTGGTAACCGGTTTCCTCCCTGTTGCTGTTAAATTGATCCTATGGAAAGAAAAACAAAACAAGCCAACAAAAATGTATCTTCTGGTTTCCAATTCTAAACCCAACCTCTTAGTTCAAATCCCGTACCTAAAGTATAAAACTCCTTCCTTAGCCTCTGACCTATTTCATCATTCTAAACCGGCTTAGGTAGTTTTAAAGTATACTTTTTTTTTTTTTTTTTTTTTTTGCGGAACCGGGGATTGAACTCAGACCCTTGCACTTGCTAGGGAAGCACTTATTCCACTGAGCCATCTCCCCTGCCCCTAAATTATAAATATTTAGTACCCAACACTGACTTCTCAGCTACTCAGTAGGCTGAGGCAGGAGGACTGCAAAGTTGAAGCCAGCATGGGCCACTTATGAGACCAAGTCAAAAATAAAAATGACTTGGGGGGAAAAAAGAAGAAAAAAGAAAAGCAAAATAAAAAGGGGTATGGCTTAGTGGTAGGTTGCTTGCCTAGCATATGTAAGGCCCTGGGTTCAATCCCCACCACTGCAAAAGCAAAACAAGGCCAAATAATTTGTAGCAACCACAAAAAAAGTCAAATATAGGGGGCCGGGGAGATAGCTCGGTAGAAGAAGCACTTCCCGAATACGCATTTCCCTGGCAAGCGCAAGAGCCTGAGTTCAATCCCCAGTTCCACCAAAAAAAAAAAAAAAAGAAAGAAAGAAAGAAAAGTCAAATATCTAAGAATAAATCTGGTGAACAATTTATTTGCAGCAAGACATCTACTGCAAACACCAAGAAACAGCACCAGTAGACATTAAAAGCTAGAGGTGGAGAGACCTGTTTCTCAGCAGGAGAGAGAAACACCAAGGGAGGGATGTGGCGTTGCCCAGGTTGGTTTTCTGAGTGGACACCTGGCAGCTCGGGTACAGATTTGGAAGGGTGTTCCGCATAGATTGACAAGGGATCCTAAGTTGTCACTGCAAGTGCAGAAGGCCAGGAATCACCAAGACACAAACACTGTGGTTACTAAGACAGCAAGTGTCCTGTGGCCTTGGCTTAGGGAGGTGGACGGATGGACTGGAGGGCAGGGCTCAGAAATCGACTCCTGGATATTTACAGTCAGCCCCTTGGGGCAAGGGGTGGTGCCATGCAGGAGAGAAAGCACACTCTCTGCACCTTTGCTGGTTCTTTTTTTTTTTTTTTTGCGGTACCGGGTATTGAACTCAGGACCTTGCACTTGTCAGGCAAGCGCTTATTCTACTGAGCTATCTCCCCGACCCCTTTCACTGGTTCCATACAGGAAAAATCCCGACTCCACAAACAGTGCCCCAGGTCAGATCTTTGCCCCAGAGGAAGAGCTAGAACCCTCCTTGAGTTTGCTACCTTCAGTCACTGAGCCCTTTCCCTCCCTCAGGACAGGGCTGCGGCTCAGCAGCAGCTGTGGATGGTGGAGGACACGCTGGCGGGGCTGGGGGCCCCCCAGAAAGCACCCCCCCACACTGAGCCTGACCTCCCTTCCCCTGCACCCCGAGGAGAGGAGTCCTCTGAGAGGGAGGTGAGATTCCCATCCTCTCCTTCCCTGGCTTCCTGTCCCATCTGCCCTGGCCCAAACACATTCCCCTTCCCTTTCCTGCCTTTCCTGTCCCTTGACCAGCTAGCCAATTTCTGGGTTTTTTTTGTTTTTTTTTTTTTTTTGCGGTACCAGGGATTGAACTCAGGCCCTTTATTCTACTGAACTATCTCCCCAGCCTTTTTTTTTTTTGCGGAACCGGGGATTGAACTCAGACCCTTGCGCTTGCCAGGGAAGCGCTTATTCCACTGAGCCATCTCCCGGGCTCCTGTTCTTTGTTTTTAAAGCAGGGTCTAAAAGAAAAAGGCCCGCCAGATAGCTCAGCAGACTAAAGCTCCTGCTCAGAGCACAGTGGCCGGTTTGATCCCTGGGGTGCTATGCTGGCCCCGCCCCCGGGGTGCGCTGAGGGGGGATTGAGACTGGGTGTGGTGGCGCGCACCTGTCATCCCAGCGCTTGGGAGGTTGACAACGGGAGAATCACTATGAGCCTGATCTACGTAGTGAGACACTGTAGACCCTGAACCAAATACATAAAATAAATAAATAAATAAGTAAATAAAACAGGGTCTCCCTTTGTCGCCCAGAGGGGCCTCAGACTTGCAGCAATCTTCCTGCCTTAGCTGCCCAAGTGCTGGGATCACAGGCCTGCAGCTGGGGTGCGCTGTGGGTTTTGGCTAGTAGTAGAGGACTTGCTTGGTCACACACAGTTGGGATGATGACCCACACCTATAATGGAACCCTTGGGAGACTGAGGTAGGAGTATTGACCTGAATTCAAGGCCAGCCTGGGCTGCAGAGGGAGACTCTCTAAATAAATAAAACCAGGATTAGGTTTACAATCATAGGGGCCGGGGAGATGACTCAGTAGAATAAGTGCTTGTCTGACAAGCGCAAGGGCCCGAGTTCAATCCCTGGTTCTGCAATTTACAATCATACGCTTCCTCATACTGTCTCAGGAAAGTCACAATGATGATGTGACCATTGTCCTGGACCCCCTTCTCCACCCCCTGCAGAGCCTGCCTGAGACCCTGGAACTGGGCTCCCCTCGGTCCCCTGAGGTTGACTGGGGCCGGCCTCCTGGAGGTGACAGAGACCTTGGCAGCCCACGCTCAGGTGAGTGTCCTGGTGGGTGGGGTATCCCATGTCCCTGTTCTCACTGAGTCTCCTCTGTCCTTTTAGGCCTGGCATCGCCCAGGGTGTCCCGGGCTTCCAGCCCTGAGGGCCACCGCACCTCCTCCCCACCGCTGGGGACCAAGGTATGCTGCCCACGTGGGCTCTTTTTGTCTTGTGAGCCTGTGGCCTGCCCACCGCAGACCCCAATCCTGGAGACAGAGCCGGGAGTGGCAGCTGCTCTATAACCACCCCCAGTGCAGGGAGCAAGCAATTTGTGAGAGCCTTGTCACTCATTTTTCTCTGTTTTTGTTTGAGACAGTGTCTCTATGTAGCCAGGCTGGCCCTAAACTCCTGGTGACCCTTCTGCCTCAGCCTTCCAAGTGCTTGGAGTACTCTGCTATTTTTAAGCAGTGTGATTTGGGGTCCTTTATTAAACTCTGTGCCTCCAGTTTTTCGCCTGTGCAACTGGGCTAACAGCAGTGATTACCACTCAGAACTGGTATTGTTAGCCAGGCTTAGCGAAGCATGCCTATAATCCCAGCACTTGGGAGGCTGAGGCGGGAGGATTACTGAGAGTTTGAGGTCAGCCTGGGCTACATAGTGAGGTCAAGGCCAGCATGGACTACATGGCTAAGACCTTGAAGGAGGATGAGACGGGCCAGGCAAACTTAGGGACAATAAGCTGCATTTCTAGTTTTTAGACATACACCCTATAACTGATTAACCTGCCCAGGATACCCAGAGCTGAGCAGGAATCTGACCCGACATTTGGATAAAGGAAGCAAAATAAAATTGTGGGTGGAAATGCCAAGATTTACCTGCTTTTGGTTTCCCTTGGGCATCAGCAAGTCAGCTCTAAGATCCTGTTAACAGTGAGACAATTAAAAGAGTCCAGTATCTGGGCCAGAGGGATGGTGCAGTAGAATAAGCGCTTGCCTGGCAAGCGCAAGGGCCTGAGTTCAAACCCTGGTTCCCCCCCAAAAAAAAAGGAGTAAAAGAGTCCAGTATCTCCAAAGGTTGCAAATGGTACCTGGGTTTAGTGAGTTTATTTATTCTTCATCAGTCTACCCACTCAGCAAGTATTTATTTGTGAAGCTGGCAACCAAACCCAGGGCTTGTCACTTGGGAGGGAAGCACACTACCACGCCTGGAGGAGGGGGAGGGAGAAGGGGAGGAAGGGGGAGGCAGATGGATCAAAAGTTCCAGGCCAGCCTAAGAGATGGCTCAGTAGAATAATTTTTTTTTTTTTTTTGGGGGGGGGCAGCTCAACCCACCAGGGGGCGGGGCTGGCTGGCATGTGGTGCTGGGGGATTGAACCGCGGTCCCTGTGCTTTGCTAAGCTTGTTCTAAGTAGGTGCTTTAGACCACTGAGCCATCTCACCAGCCCAGCTCAGTAGAATAAGCGCTTCCCTGGCAAAAGCAATGATCTGAGTTCAATCCCCGGTTCTGCAAAAAACAAAAACAAAAACAAAAACAAACAAACAACAACAACAACAAAACAAAACAGAACAAGGGCTGAGGGCGTAGCGCAGTGGGAAGGCCCTAGAGTCAGTTCCCAGTACTACAGGTGACACAAACAAACTCTGAATCTCTGGTGAACTGACTGGGAAGGGCCAGGCTGCAGGCTGGGAGGGTCTGGGTGAGGAGATCAAGAGGCGCCCTGCTCTTTGGGGCCTTTAGGGACTTCTGGTCTCCCCAGGTCCCGGCAGCCCGACCCCGGATGAGCGCCCAGGAGCAGCTGGAGCGCATGCGCAGGAACCAGGACAGCGGACGGCCCCTCCTGCGCCCCGCCTCCCCCCGACTTCTCACCCTGGGGAGGACGCTGTCTCCGGCCAGACGCCAGCCTGACACGGAGCAAAGGGTGAGGGCAGGAGGGCTGGGGGTGGCTGGGGGACAGTAGGGCATCCCTGCACCTAGTCTCCTAGTCTAGTTTCCTTCAGGAAAACAAGGACACTCCCTACCTTCTTGCCCTGAGCTGAGTTTCCAGATTCACCCAACTAGGGCTTTATCAGCTTACTAGCTCCCCTCGTGCTGGAGGAGCAAAGCGATAAGGCGTAGACAGAGGCGACTTCCTCCAGGGGGTGGGGGTCACAGACCCAGATAAGAGCCCAGTCGTTCCTCTCAGCTGCTCTGTTGGCAAAGGAAAAATATTACTTGAGCAGTTGGAGCAATTGACTTTCTTCCCTTAAGGAAAGCACCCAGAACTGAAAATCACAGTGTTGTGGGCATCACAAGGGCTTCACCTTAGACTCTTAAAGGAATTACATAAGTCAAAGAGGGGTGTGTGTGTGTATGTACGTACGTTCGCGCAAGCTCATGTGTGATTTCCTCTCTGAGCCCCCTTCTTTAAAATGAAAAGGCAAAAAATAAATAAATAAAATGAAAAGGCGGGGCTTCCAGGTCGGGACCCCAACGGCCCACTTCCTTTCCAGGCTGTGCTAGGAGCTGCAAAATGGCTCAGAAGCTCAGGGTCCTGGAGCAGGTGAGGAACTGGAGCGGGGCATGAAGAAAAGTCGCCACCAAAGTAGAGGCCAAGGGCCTGAGGAGATCGCTCGGTGGCCTAAGCACCTACCTAGCAAGTGCAAGGACAGGGTTCAATCCCAGGTACCACATGCTGCGATGGCGCGGAGCACCATGCTGGCTTCCAAAACTGGAAGTGGTGGTGCAGGCCTGTAATCCCAGCACTGGAGAGGTGAGACAGGATGATCACTACAAGTCCCAGCTGCATAGTAAATAAATAAATACATAAATAATCGTTTTTAACAAAAGTAGAAGTGAGGACAAGGGTTATTAGGGCCTCCTGAGTACTGAACTTACAGGTCCCAAAGTTTTAATTGCCACTTGAATTCCTGGGATATCAGAAACAAAAACTGGGCTGGGGAGATAGCTCAGTAGAATAAGTGTTTGCCGGGCAAGGGCCTGAGTTCAATCCCCGGTTCTGCAAAAAATAAGAAAAAGAAAAAAACAAAAACAGGCCCCTCCCCCCATTAGCTCAGGTGTTTAAGTGCCTCCTTAAAAATGCAATGAGGGGGCCAGGGAGATGGCTCAGTAGAATAAGTGCTTGCACAAGGGCCTGAGTTCAATCCCCGGTTCCGTCAAAAAAAAAAAAAAAGCAGTGAGGCTCAATTTCTACTGGATCTAACCCAGATACCCCCGCCAAACCAGAAATGCCCTGAGGGCATAGTCAAGCCTCAAAGGGAAAACAAAACAAAACAAAACAACCAAGAAGCTCTCCAATTGCAGTGAGAACTGCAATTCCTAGGTTTTTCTTTTGGTTGGTGTCGGACCATACCCCTCCATCAGGGGTTCCAGTAACGTTGAAGCGCGAGTGGACTACAAATCCCAAAATGCTCAGGGTCTGGGTCCAAAACTTGTTCAGGCCCACCACGTGCTCAGGACTACAACACCCACAGGGCAGCGTGCGGCCGTGAGCTAAACCGCTTAACACCTCCTGTCCCCGACTTTTTTCTTTATTATTGTATTTCCTTTTTTTCTTTTTGCGGAACCGGGGATTGAACTCATGGCCCCTTTCTCATTGTATTTCCAATCTACTTTTTTAGTCCCAGGAACACTAGCCATTACTTGACCACATCTGACGGCCACAGGGAGCAGGTCCTCAGCCTGTCCCAAGCCCTGGCCACTGAGGCGTCGCAGTGGCATAGACTGATGACAGGTAAGGACCAGGGATGGCACATACGTTTAGGTTTTAGATTAAGACTTAGATTGGTAGCACAGGTGTAAGTGGGAACTTTTGAATACTAGAACCGAGGGAGGAAGGGTCTGGTACCCGCGAGGGCACTCGTGTTGAGAGTGTGCAGGGATTGGGAGTTCTGAGTCCCAGGCAGGAAGGGACCAGGGTCAGGACGAAGAAGGCCAAGGTGCCTGGAAAGCTGGCGGCTGGGTCTCAGGTAGGAATGGATTAAGGGTCGGGACTACTGGATCTGGGGGAGAGCGGTGAAGGAGTCCGGGTCGAGTCCAACGTCCTAAATTTTGAGGATCTCATTTCCCCCCATTTAGCCTCTCCAGGTGGGAATCTGGACTGTCGCGAAGGCCCCGGCCCTCCGGTCGCTCCGTCGGACCCCACGCCCGAAGTTACCTCGCCTCCGAGATCCCCCGCAGCGACCAATTCCGGTTCCTCCGGATTCTCCCCCCGCGGAAGTGGGCGAGGCGGAGGCCCCGCCCCCTGGGCGCCCACGTGGGACTCGGGGGACGCCCCTCCCGGCCGGGACGAGGGGGCGTGGCCTCTGAGGGTCACTCTGCTGCAGTCCAGCTTCTGACCTGCGCCGGCCGGGGCCCCGATCGGTGCGTGGGGGCGAGGCCTGGAGGTACCGCCCGGGTGTCTGTGGCCACGCCGGGCACTGGGGGTGTGGTCTGGGGTCCGCTTGTGGCCTGGGAGGTGCCTAGTTTGTATCTGTTAAATTTGGTTTTTCCTGCTGTCCAATTTTGGATTAAAACTTTGAACTTTAAGTCAGTAGTTTTCCTTTTCTCTGTCTGTCTGTCTGTCTGTCTGTCTGTCTGTCTGTCTGTCTGTCTGTCTGTCTGTCTGTCTGT